ATCAGTTTGCTTGCAGAGGTGACTACTTTCTATTTAGGAGGAAATAAAAAATTGTTTTTATGTAGTTACTTATGAAATTCAATTTTCACTTGCTTTATTATATTTTCTTTATCCCAGAATGGTGCCCATATTTTTGAATTCATAGACTCTTCACAGCATACCAGTAAAGACCTTGTAATTTCTAAGCTGACACATTGCTATTTCATGCTACTTTATCATATATATCTTATTAAGGGCAGTGAGTTGTTCTCAATTGCCATAGTTGTACTTGAACCTACAAAATAGCTATTTGGACATCCCTAAACCCAGAATACAAAAGTTTGCAAATGATGATTAGTACTACTGATAGATGTTTGATATTGTCCAGACTTTATTTTAACCTTGGGTGGTCATGTGCATAGGCTTTGCTGATAAAATTTGCTTTAAGTAAGAGTTGGTGTGTCATATTTATTTGAGAAAAGAATATTTATTGAGTACTTACATTATTCTCTGAAGCGTATATGATGAATCAAACAGGAAGTCCCATTGTGGAATTTTCATTCACATGAATAAAGACAGATAATAAGTAAATAATATGTCAGCTGGTGATAAGGGCCATGCAAAAAACTTAAGTGGGGTGAGGAGGTTAGAGAGTGCTAGTGGAAGAGGGAGGTGCTATCTTATGTAGGATGGTCAGAGCAGGCCACTCTGAGAAGAGGAAATTTAAGCAGAGACCTGAAGAAAAAAAATGACTGAGAATTGGGAGTATGGTGGAAGTACTCATAGAAAGTAGATTTGAATTACTTGCTGCAGGATTGTGCTTTACTTGTGTGAGGAACAGCAAAGGGAGCTGTGGGGCCGGAGTGATGTGAGCCTGAGGGTCAAAAGTGAAGTTAAGAGACAGTGGGAGGTCCCTTTTATAAGGCTTTTTAGGATATGGTGTGAAGATACAATCCCACAGGAAGCAGCTCTACTGCATGTGTTCTTGGCCCAGCACTGACACTAAGTTAACCTTGTGGCTTTCCTTTGCCTGTAACTATTACATAAATCATTGATGGAATTAAACTAACATTGCCATTGGATGGTCAACCTGGCTCCTACCCTATCAGTGTGCAGAAAAGCCAAGCAGGGTGAATTTTGCCTCACAGGGACTGGAAGGGCCATGCAAAGGATCAAAGCCATGTCTCTGTGACTGTTTAGCCACATCTATTTCAAAGCCCGAAGGTCCCATTTTCCCAGCCTGTACTCATATGGATAGTTCAGAATGAAAAAGCTCTGTCCTGTCTGTTCTCCAGGTTTCCTCATCCCCAGAGTCCTTGGAGGACACCGTGTGATGGCTAATTTTATGTGTCAACTTGACTGGATTAAGGGATGCTCAGATAGCTGGCAAAACATTATTTCTGAATGTACATGAGAGGGTGTTCTGGAAGACATTAGCATTTGAATCAGTAGACTGAGTAAAGATGATCTGCCCTCACCAGCTCTGGGTGGGCATCATTCACTCTGTTGAAGGACTGACTAGAACAAAAAGGCAGAAGGACATATTCTCTTTCATCCTGAGCTGGGACATCCATCTTTTCCTGTCCTTGGACATTGGAACTCCTGTTTTCCAGCCTTTGGACTCCAGGACTTAATGCAATTCCCCTCTTGCCTGTCTCAGTACTATCTGACAGTTAATTCAGCCAGTCTTCTGCTGCTGGGCACCTGAGTTTCTTTCTATTCTGTTTCATTTACAAATAGTTAAATTCCTTTATGCATACCACATTTTGTAATTTTACCAGTGTATCTTTGTGATAGAAGGGTGCTGTGTCATATAATATATGCATATGAGATTAAACATGAACACTGTTTAATTACCTCCTATATGAGTTGAACTATTTTGCATTTTCACCAGCAGTGTGAGAGTCCTTGTTCTTTGGTCTGGCCAATAGAGTATTTTAATACACTTTGGATTTTTGCCCCTCTGATTGGTATGAAGTGGTACCTCAGTGTAGTCTAACTTACATTTTCCTTATGATCACAATGGAGCATCTTTTTAAAGGTGTGTCATTCACTTATATTTTCCTGTGAAGTGTCTATTTATGCCTTCTTCCTTGTACTATATCAGACCATAGTCTTTTACATCTCAATTTTTAGACTCTACATGTATTAAGGACATTAGTCTGTCATATGTGGCAAACACCACCAATTTGTCATTTTCCTTTGTTTGTATTATTTTAGTCCTACAAAAATTTATTAATTTCCTCCTCCTCATTTCTACTGGATTTTTGAGTCATAGCTATGGAAGCCTTCATTCCAGGGCTATGAAGGAACTCACCCATTTCCTTCTAGTAATTAAAAAGTTTCTTTTTTATTTTGTTTTTGCATTTAGACCTCTTGATTTGTTGGGAATTTATCCTGCTTTACACTGCCAAGAACGAATCTAACTGTACCAACACTAATTATCAAAAGTCCCTTTCCAAAATGGTTCCAGCAGAATGGCGCTTGCAAAGAAAGGTGGTTAGGGAAAAGTGAAGGGCTGTTTTGTCATCCATGAGGTAGACTAGGGAAGACATTATCAACATTCAAAAATATATAGAGTAGGGGGTCAAGAAACATGACCTGAAGTATTCAAGGAGATCCCAATATTCACTATGAAAGAGATGGGAACACCAGATGTGCACACTGATGCCAAATTCAACAAGGCAGCCTGGGCCAAAGGAAAATAGAATGAACCATAGTTATCTGTATGTGGATGTCTGGAAAGGATAATGTGGACAAAGGTTCACCAAATAACCTTGAAGTGTTATTTTTCTCAGTGTACTTGTCATCTTAAAAAAGAATCTACTCAGCATGAATAAAAATGGCTTATTCATTATAATAAAGTTATGTAACAAAAAGATTATTTTCCCCACAAGTGAAATTCCATGGATGACAATAATTTGTGAGGGAACTACCTACTAAAGATATGACTTATATTTATGTGCTAAATATGTGTACATATAATTCCCCTTCCTTTACTCATGTAATATGAAAAGGAGCCAAGAACTGCACTTAAAAAAAAGTACTAAGCTAATAAAGTACATTATCAGCATTCAGAACTATCATCCATCCAAATCAGAGCTTAAGCATTCTAGGTAAGTATCTAGTATCATACTGTCCTTTCAATAAATACTAGGTTAATCTACTATATTAGTTTTTTCATGTATCTTCATGAAAATTTTCTGGAATTTTCTAAAGGGCTTCCCCCATCTAATTTTTATTTATGTATTTTGCTGGCTGGCTGGTACAGGGATTGAACCTTGGACCTTTGTGTTATCAGCATCACGCTCTAACCAACTAAGCTAACCAGTCAGCACCCCCCCATCTAATTTTTATTTATGGATTTTGCTGGCTGGCTGGTACAGGGATTGAACCTTGGACCTTTGTGTTATCAGCATCACGCTCTAACCAACTAAGCTAACCAGTCAGCACCCCCCCATCTAATTTTATTAGAATTATGTTAGTCTTTTAGCATATGCTGGCAAATCTCCCTAAGATTTTCTGTTCCTTGATGGTGTAGCCTGTAAAGTTATATAATTATTAATGATTAATGATAATTTTTTTGGACTTTTTTGGTTATTTTCAAAATAATCATATTTATATAATGTTTTTCTAGAAAATAAGCCATCCATATATAAAAATTGTATTTGTTTACATACTTACATTACCATTTTAAAAATACCCTCTAAACATATAGTTATATCCCATTTCTCCTTTCTTATAATGTGGTAGAGATATTGCCAACGTCTAGTAAATAATAGTTTTCTTCAAAGTAGTAGATTTTGATAAAAACCTTCTGTATTGTGTCTTATTCCATTAATTTCTGCTTTATTTTCATTAAGCCTTTCCATCTATTCATTTGGGACATTTGTTCTTATTCTAGCTTGTTTAGTTGAATAATCATTATTTAATTCAACGAATATTTGATACCCTACAGTATTTTAGTATATAGGTATACTATATATATATTCACATATACTTTCCTAACTGCTGGAAATACAGTGCTAAGAAACAAACTGCCTTCAATCTTCTTGTTTTTATACACATTCAGAGCAATTTCTATTGAAAACTGTTTTGGCCACGTTCATAGGATTTGAAATACAGGGGTCTCTTTATCATTCACATCTCAATAGTCTATAATTTCACTATTTATTTGCTCTTTAACCCAAGAATTGTTTATACAGGTGGTACTAAATTTCCAAGAGGTTGGAATTCATTTGACTATCCATTTGCTAATTTCTAAGTTTTAACTGTGGTGAAAAAATGGATTATATGATGCTTGGCCTTAGAAATTTGTTAGAGACAAATCACTTCCAAATACTTTTTATTTTTTTAAAAATTGCTGAATACTCAACAACCCCACTTTTACTAAAACCATAAGGCTTTCTTTATAGTACATATGTTTCTGATGTAGCATATGAAATTAATACTGACTAAAGGCTTTCTTACTTTCATTATATCTCACTGGTTTTTCTTCAGAATTAACATTCTGCTGTTCAGAAAGACACAGAAAGAAGTGGCATATTTGCCTAGATCACTACAGTCTTTAGGTCCTCCTCTCATAGAAATGACTTAATACCCATACTAATGAGTCATTAAGTCACTTAAATCTCAAGCTCATTCAATTCTTATAAACTAATGAATAAGCAAACAGATTTAAGTTACTTTCCAAAAAAATATAGAGATAGAGTGTGTTGAAACCAACACATGCCAAATGTTACATGACAGTTCAAGGCTTTTCCAGATTAATAACACAACAAAAAATAGTCTATGGTATGATTTTTGTGGAAGTGCAACAAGAATTTGGTAGTGACAGGTTTCCTACATGGATTAGATATACATTCTTTATGCAATATATCTCTCAAGAGAATGTTTTGAGAATGACTCAAAGAATTCACACTATCTTCTCATTCATAGGGTTATACCCTGATATTCCATAACTGATGATTAATCAGTAAATTCTTACATTAATATAAATTGCATTATGAACTGTCTGCTGTAGAGTGTATATTGTATGTGTTTTGTCAAAAGGCCTTTCAATATTACTTAAACTTGTGAGGTTTCTCAAGAGAAGAAATTAATTGACATCAATTAATGAGTCATGAATAAAGCTTTTTCTACATTTTTATATCACATGATTTCACAACAGTGAAATTAAAGTGAGAGTTTGGAGAAAATGCTGTCTCAAAATCTCTATATTCATAGGGTTTCTCAAAAGTGTAAATATTCTGGTGTTGAGCAAAGTTTGAATCATGACTAAAGGTGTTCCCATAGTCTGTCCATTCATAGAGATTCTCACCATTATGAATTTTCTGTTCAGTTAGACATGAATGGTGACTAAAGATCTGGCCACTTTTCTTACATTCATAGGGTTCTGCATCAGTATGAGTTTTCCTATGTCGTGTAAGCTGTGAGCCCCAGATAAAGGATTTCCCACACTCATTACATACATAAGGTTCCTCACCTGTATGCATTCTCTGATGTCGAGTAAGTTGTGAACCCCAGAGAAAGGCTTTTCCACATTCTTCACATTCATATGGTCTCTTTCCAGTATGGATTTTCTGATGTCGATTAAGTTCTGAACCGCGAAAAAAGGTCTTCCCACATTCCTTACATTCATAATTTCTCTCACCAGTATGAATTTTCTGATGTCGATTAAACTCTGAGCCATGAAAAAAGGTCTTTCCACATTCCTTACAATCATAGAGTTTCCTTTCTTTATGTGTTTTCTCATGTTGAGCAAGATATGAAGCCCAAATGAAAGTCTTCCCACACTGCTTACATTCATAAGGTTTCCTACCGGTATGAATTCGCTGATGTCGAGCAAGGTGTGAACTCCAGATATAGGCTTTCCCACATTCCTCACATTCATAAGGCTTCTTCCCAACATGAACATTCTGATGTTGAGCAAGATTTGAACCACGAATAAATGCTTTTCCACACTCCTTACATTCATGAGATTTCTCACCAGTATGAATTCTCTGATGTTGAGTTAGGTGTGAGCCACGAGTAAAAGCTTTCCCACACTCCTTACATTCATAAGGTTTTTCACCAGTGTGAATTCTCTCATGTTTAATAAGATGTGATCTCTGACTAAAGGCCTTCCTACATTCATTACATTCATAGGGTTTCTCACCTGTATGAATTCTCTGATGTCGAGTAAGGTCTGAACCACAACTAAAGGCCTTGCTACATTCTTTACATTCATAAGATTTCTCACCAGTATGAATTCGCTTATGGACGCTAAGCTGTGAATGAAATCTAAAAGCCTTCCCACATTCCTTACATTTAAAAGGTTTCTCACCAGTGTGAATTCTCTTATGACCAGTAAGACTTGATCGCAAACTAAAAGCCTTCCCACATTCTTTACATTCATGTGTTTTCTTACCAGTGTCTGATAAGAAAACTGTCTGATATTGAGTAAGTTCTGAATCAGGAAGAAAGGTCTTCCCACATTCCTTATCTTCACAGAATTTCTCACCAATGTGAATTAATTCATGTCGAGTATGGTGAGAACCCAAACTAAAGGCTTTCTCACAATCTTTAAATTCATTCAGTTTCTCTCTTGTATTAACACTCTGATGCAGATTAAAAGCTGTGTGCTGTTTAAAAGTGGGCATGTTTTCATAGGTGAATATCACTTGTCTAAAATATCCCTCCTGATTTTCCTGTTGTGTTTCAAACTGATCTTTGCCTTCCCAATCACCTCTGAAACATAAACATTCAAGGCTGTGGTTTTTACAGACTTCTGTTATTTCCCATTGGGATAATTCTCTCTCAAAAATGCCACTTTTTTGTGATAACTTCTTGGTCTGACACCTGGACTGTATATCTGAAAGATAAGAAGGTAAATACACACTGTTTTACTGTTCAAAAATAAATGAAATTTCCAGTGTATGTGCAGAAATCCTAAAATAAAGCACACAAGAAGTGAATGGCTTAAAAAAATCCTCAAATTCTGGGCAACATGAAAAGAAGGGCAAGTAATAAATAGAAATTTAAAAGACTTAATAAAAGTTGAGTCAGGTGATGAGAGATACAAAGTTTTGTTGATTATATACATCTGAAGAATTCAATAAAAAATGATTGTCCAGGTACTACCTCAGTAACAATAACAATTTAAAGATAAGATTGTTTCACTCAGTATGGTATTATCAACCCTCAGCACATGTTAGTCATTTAAAAAATAGATACAAAGTTTTGTTGATTATATACATCTGAAGAATTCAATAAAAAATGATTGTCCAGGTACTACCTCAGTAACAATAACAATTTAAAGACAAGATTGTTTCACTCAGTATGGTATTATCAACCCTCAGCACATGTTAGTCATTTAAAAAATAAGTCTGAAATAAATACACTACAAGAGGAAAAACAGGTGGAGGGTGCTTAGGATGGAGTAAAGGATAATATTACTAAAATCAGAGATCAGGAAGCACAACTGGGATCATCTAACCATGTAATAATGTAACATATCTCACTGTGTAATCCCTTCTATCTCTACTGAAATGATTACACATTCTGCTTCCACATTACTTTCTATACAAATAGGAAGAGAAAAAAGCATATCCAGGCTAGCTTAGTCAAAGACGAATACGAGAGAATGTGTTCATACCTACTTACTCATCATTGCATGTAAAGACTTCACCCTTCTCATTTCCTGCACTGTGCATAGCTATGTCATTTTTTGTCACATGATCCCAGTCAGGATACTTTTGTTTATTTATTCTTGATGTTATAGAATTGCTCATCCATTCTACATAATACAGTCATTTTTATGCTTTCAAGCCCTTTTCCAGATCTTCTCTTTCCCTTTTATCCAAGGCCACTGAAGTATCTCAGAAAATATCTAAAAATTTATAAGTATTGTGTAAGGTACTATGATGAATATCTCATAATTTTCAGCTTAAAAACAGGATTGCTAGGAAATAGCAGAGCTATTCAAAGTACTAGGAACTCAATAGCACAGGCTATGTTGCATTTAGGTAAAGGAGATAATTATGGTGATAGTTCAGATGGGAAAATAGTTTGATAAACTTGCCAAGGGAGAATGAATCTAGCATGAGCTACAAATAAGTAGGACTTAATCCAAACCATAGATAAAATAATAACCACTGGAGAAAAAGAATGGCACTTCCATTTTTGTTATATGAAGGAAAAATGAAAGCACAGAAATAGAATATCTGGAGTGAAGAGAAAATTCTTTTGGAAAAGGTTTCTTCTCTAGGTTTCAGGCCTTTATCAAAGGCTATGGCCTTTGAGGGGACAGTCCAGACCAATATTTCAAAGGTGTGGCTGCCTCACTAAGCAGCTGGGCTGTTATCTGCAATGATGGCCTCCCTGTGCCTGCTCAGCCTTCACTTACCTGGGCAAGGTCCTCTTGTTTCATCCCTCAAAACCATCCAGGGCTCTTTCCCTTTCTTCAATAAGGAGAACACATCTGGCTGATAAATGCAAAGTCCTGCCCAGAAGATGAGATATAGGAAATGACCACACGGTAAGGGTTCCAAAATTTGCATCTAGTCCCTTGGTTATTAAGGAAGACAGACAGTTATAGAAAGGGCAAGAAAAAGGCATAAAGGATTTCTAAATGCTGGGGAAGATGGAAGTGAACAATAATGACAACTACTGCCATTAGCATACATCATTTTCCCAGAAACAGGTCAGAAATTCCCCTAGACATGTGAAAGACAATCCAAATTTCACAATATAGAAAGCAGGAATTTCTAGGGTCAAATTCTGAATCTTACCCAGTGAGACCATGTTGCTGTAGTTCTCCAACATCACCTCTTTGTACAAGTCCCTCTGTGTCAGGTCCAGGCACTCCCACTCCTCCTGAGAGAAGTCTACAGCCACATCCCTGAACACCATCAACTGCTGAAAGGACAAACCCAAATATTAATGTTGAAATTAAAAGAAACCTTTTAGATGGAAAGAGAAAAGATGGGAAAGGGAACTACAGGGAGTGGGACATACACTGAGCAAAATACTGGATTTGGCTGCCTGTGATATGGGGGGAACATGACACAGAAATCAGTATTATTGAAGCTGAGTGCCTACATGCACTTAAAAACTCCTGTTGCTCAGTTACAACATCCAATGGCCTTCAAATAACAAGCACCAAGATGGCAGCCCAGAATAATAGAAATCATATGAGTTTTTTGTTGACACCACTCAGAGGCTATATAAACCTGGAAAGAGTAACTCCAGACTTACTATGTGAGAAAAGTTGAGGGTTTTGTCAGCTCTTTTTGTTTGTTTTCTGCTTAAGCTACCTTTAGTATAATTTTTTATTAGTTTAAATTGAAAGAATTCTTAAGAGATACACTCCCTCACTGAATAGTATTTTCTATGGAAAATGTGTAGGCTCTCTAGGCTCTTTTATAAGCAGTTGACAATTGGCACATGTTTCGTTAATGATATTAATCTCATTGATTTCATGGCGAGATCTCAGATCTCTGTGAACTCATCCTCCCCTCACATCCTCTAACTAAAAACATCACAGGGTGCCAGATACTGAAATGAATACCAACACCAAATCCCATCTTTACTAACTGAAACACCCCATTCTATGGAGTAAATAAAAGCTTTCATGTAGTGTGTCCCCTTTAACCACTCAGTTCCACCTTGTTAAGCCATGTTTTTGAAATGAAAGTCTCCACTATTCCCTTTACGGAAATTATTTCTCCTCCTTCAATGCTCTGTCAGAAAATTAGGACACAGGAGATACACTGTTGGACAGATTTGGGGATATTGGTGGGAGAAAAGAGGGACTGTTTCACAACCATGACTTATCACATTGAATAGCAATTCAGGTAAGCAGTTTAAGGATAAGCAATAAAAATATTCACATGATGTGATATAAATGGTTATATTTCTGGAGAGAGGCAATTACAACTCACATGGGCCATTACTTAGAATTCCAAGAGTAGACCAGTCCTCTTCTGAATTCCTCTCTTGGCAAAGCAGAATGCTGGGGAAGCAGAGCTGGGGGGAAAGAATCATGAGAAGTCAGGCTTTCCTCAGAGCTTTCAAATCAGTAAATGGGAATGCCATTTTTTTCCTTGGAGTAAGGTCAGAGAGAGTCTGAAGAAATCCTGCCCCATATCCAAAACCAGACAAACTCAAATACAGCAGAATGGAGTTTCAGTCCAATTAGTTATGACAAAATCATGACATGAGTCAGGATTTGAGGTAAGGCCACTCTGACTTGCCCTAATTGCCCACTACAAACATGCAGGCCTGAGTCAGACATCCCAGGGTCACCCCAGAGCAATGTAACTCCCAATCTAGAGTCCAATGCTCCTGCCCAGGCTCCTTCTGCATACTTCCCATGATAGTGGCTTTCATCTCCTCTATGTCCAACGAACCCTATGACACCTACTGACTCATTTTCATCCAAAGTATCCCAAGAGGGCCCACACTGCAAAAGTAAAGGCAATTTTGAGGCCAAAATTATCCTGACTAGATTTACCATTCAGTGAGAAGACTGGTATACAGAACCTTAGTAGTCTTTACCAGGGCACAAACAGACCTGTGCACACAGTTTTTGGCCCCACTTGACTGTCAATTCCCATTAACCTCCAGACCCACACTCTGTTTTTTCTGCTTTCTTGCATCATCCTTGCGGCCTTCTCACCCAGGATAAAGCCTTGGAAAGGGAGAATATCGTTCTGATAATTCATTCCCACTCTACAGTGACAACAAAAATACTGATTGAGCAGCATAATGTGCTGGGTACTTCATATATTTTTTTACTTAAAAACATGGAAAGGGCCGGCCCGGTGGCGCACTGCTACAGTGCGCTGCTTGGGAGCGCGGCGGCGCTCCC